AGCAGCAACATCGGCCCCCTGCCGCAAACACGTGGCAGCACCCTCCTGAAGAAGAGTCCTGAGGCTGAGTGTGGCCTTCCTGGATAAACAAACGGAATAGTAACAAACCATTTTAACTAGGAATTAAAAATCATCAACAGCCACCATCATCGTTCACGACATCGTCTAACTCACCATCATCATCATCATTAACAACCACTATCACCAGCACCTATGAAGGCCGGCACGGTACGCAAGGCCAACACCACGGTCGACCGCCTTTGTCTCGCCAGGTACTTGTTTGAGGCTGAGTCGACCTAGGAGAAGCCCTGGACCGGTTAAAATAATATAATCGAAACTGGTGTTGCCCGTGAGCGGGAATGTCAACTCGGGTGGCCAGGTTCGTAGAGCAGCGCGCTAACCGCAGCACCACCGCTCCCCACCACACAGACCAATACATACAACAAACACTTACACATTAAATGACTATATTCCTCTCTAAGCCTTTGAGCGCCCTCAATCCCTCGCTATTGATCAGGGCTAAATCCCGCCCGCAGCCGTCTCTATTCCTGGGAGCTGGGTTCGACACCGGGGTCACGGTGGGGCCCCCGAGGGTCAAACGCCGCCGCGGGGAAAGGGATTTAGTCCGCGCGAGCGGCGAATCCCCGCAGCTTATAAGTTGGGATGGGGTTAGGGTCAGGGTTACGGCCAAGTAGCTGCCGCCTCTGTTGATCTCACTTGTGGCACGACGTGTGGATCCACAGTTGATAGAATGTGAGTCATTGTGGTTCCCACTACTTTTAGGCTTAGAGCTATAGGGTTACCGTTGTTATAGGGTCAGGGATAGGGTCAAGTGGACAGTTCTGTGTTGGTCGCACACGTGGTCCCAAGCGTGGTTCAACGTGGTCCATAGTTGATCCAGCTCGCGTGCTCCGTGTGGGGGGTCCGAGCAGGTAGCCGGTCCCCCAGTTCGTGTGGAGGTGGTCACCTGTGCCGTGAGATCATTGGCGGGTCGTGGCTCCAGGTGGAGCACGCTGGGATTTTTTTTTGTAATCCCTCCATCTCCGCGTGCGGACGCCCTCTCCTGTGCGCGTTCCCTCCCGTGGTGAGTCTCAAACCGCCACCCCCCCCCGGGCCGTCCTCCGGCACAACGAGGTGTCCTGCCCACGCTCCACTTACCTGGGCGAAGCTCATTGGGCTCGGGTCACCGGGTTCATCGCGCAGTGCGCTAACCACTGTGCCACCGCTCCGCCACTGTTCCTTCATAGGGCAGTGATGGTGATGAAACAAACTGAACACGGTTCGTCAATATGACTGTGGCCTTCAAAGGGAAAATCAAATACATATAATAGGTGACGTTTCGGGGAATGGCCCTTTTTTGATAGCGCAAAGAAGGCCATTGCCTGAAACGCCACCAATCATATATTTGTTTCCTTTTAAGGCCACAGAGTTGTTGACGAATGCGCTGAGTCGGTGTTGTTCGATGTTCTTGTGCACCACTGCCAACGCAACAACAGCAGCAGAACCGAATCGTGTGACGGTGACGAAGGTGGTGCGTGTGGAAACTAGCTCACAATCCGCCGGTGCCGGAGCGTGGTGATGGTGCCCTCTCGTGTTCTACCTTGGGATCTCCGCGTATCCTAGGTCTTCCCAGCGCTGATGTGAACACGCTGGATTTTTAAACTCGACCGTACGCATGTACGTTGAACTTCTTTCGCACCGTACGTAGCCGACTCGTGCTAATCGGAGGTGCGGGGGAGGGACAACAAACTAAACACAAAAATCTGTTTAAAAACAAATGAGTTTTCAATCGAGACGACTTAAAAGTGCATCGCTCCAAGTCGCTTCCCAATATCGGAAGGAAGAGCGTTCCAGACGGCCGCAGAAACGCATCTGAAAGCTCGCGGTCGGCCTAGCGGAGAGGCCTAGGACTGGTTGAGATCTCACGTGCTGCTGATGTCAACCGTGGATGGGACTCGAACCCAGGTGGCTGGGATCATAGCGGAGCGCGTGCCACAGACACACAACCGCCTTGCGTTGTCAACAGCGGCGAAGAGATTTCAACCCCTCGCGACTGTGTGGATTGTCACGATTAAGGGTCGCAGTTAAATTAAATAATTAAGTATTTATTTTACACATTGTGGTGAATTTAGTGGTCTCTTGTGGCTGAACGGGTCACGTGATCTTACTGCGTTCAACATACAGTTCAACGCGTAGGCTTCCGCGACCAACGAAACAGATGGGCTTCTCCACAAATCTGGCTGTCGCCTAATGAAGCCAGCTGTAATTACTGGCGAAACGTCGGAATTCAGATTGTAAATGTTATGGCTTGGCTCTCTAACACACCGGTGTGCTGTACTAGTGGCGAATTGGCACGTTCTTTTTACGTGACAACCCTTACTAGTTGGCTGTGTCGGGTGGTGGCGGGTTTAACGATACATTTATATATTTACGCGATCTAACCCCAAAAAAAACCTCTATTATGGATTCAACATACATTTAGAAAAATATAGATAATTAGCTTTACTACCCGGCTTCGCCCGGGACTTGGAATTCGTCTTGGATTAATTTCATATGACCTTATAATTCACTAGAAAACCCTGAAAAAAATTGATGCTTGCAAGAAAGAAAAAAATCCGAAACAAATCAATTTAACAAAATGGGATGTTTTTCACTGAAGGAAATTAAACCTTAACCCACTTCTACGCGAGGTCGATTCAGGCAACTCGGGAAAGGAATGACGTGGCGAACTGAAAATTGTCGCGTTCCCTTAGAAATTCCAGACCGCGTCAGTTGTGCAAATTTCATGACGTCAGATGTCAGCGTTCGAGAGTTGTTGCTGCTTCACACAAACAGGTGGATTTTCTGCTTTATATTGAAGAACGCGACACCTATGCCGCGCTTTTGTGCGGGATACACGGCCTACGCGGAGGGTGGGGCGTGACGTCGGCAGGCACACTGCGTGACGCTTCCGCATGCGGGTGACATCACAGAGGTCACCGCTCACTTGCCGTGCACTATATATGCATTATTGCACCCCCCCCCCCCCCCCCAAAATACAAAAGTCTATTTTTATACTTTTTGCATTGTGTACAGTCTGGAAGCTACCCACATGCCAAATTTTAAGTTTGATGCATGTCGGGAAGTATGCTAAACATTTCGAACAGACACACATTCACAAATTTCCCTTTTATATATATAGATTACTGGCGAGTCAGCATCGGTCACGTGGCTCGGCGGGAGAGCGAGCGGAAAGTCGCGAGTTCAAATCCTTGTTGGGGGTTCACTCAGCCCCCCATCATCCTTCTGGGTCGATAAAATATAAAACCACTTCTTGGGGAAGTTAAACAGTGGTTGTACGATTGTTCTCCGCGATATTAATGTGGGATTTCCAGCACCGGCTCTGCAGGGCTGTAAGCAGGAGATGATCTGAGCCGGAACTCGCTTCGACTTTCTGCATCGTGACCATCGCTACAGCACAACGCTCGGAACAGAATCACACGGACACGAACAGGAGTTTCATTTTTCCGCACTGACGCTCTTTAGCTCAAGGAGACAGAACAGAGACGCGACCGCGACATCTGTCTCAGGGAGAGACGCCGCGCTCAGCACCGCCACCGTGGCCCCGCGTCTCCCCGATAACCCCGGGGTCCAATCCTTGCCCACACTTCGGAGGGCATGGATCCCGTGCTGGGGTTCGAACCGATCAACCCTGCAGCTGTCGCTCGTCTGGGTTCCGTGCGGCCGCACGCGAGTGTCCCGCAACACGCCACGCCGGACGGTCACCAACATCACCGTCGTCGTCGTCACCACCGTCAAGCCAAGGTCTATCCACTGCTGCATGAAAGGCCTCTCCAAGTCACCCGCCATCCTTTACGGTCACCGCGAGGCAACGATCCGCTCGGTGCACGCAGCGCGCGAGCCGAGTCCATCGCCACCGCTCCGTCTCCGCGCTGTACGTCCCCTCTTGGGTCGCTTTCCCTCCCCTGGACTTCCACGGAGTGGCTTGTTTCGCCCACCGGCCACCGAGTCATCGAAGCAACGACGTATGCTGCCCCATCCCTGACCGGCACGTGATAGCAAACAGAATGTTCGACTCTGCACTCAAAGAGTCCTCAACATTTCTCGTGCAGGAGGACGGTGGGGGGGGGTCTGCCCAGGGTGTGGTGGCCAATTCATCAGCGAGTGTTCATTTCGCGAGTCGTGGGCAGGCTCGGAAAGAGAAAAAAAGTTATTCCGTACGAAAGAAAGAGACCGCTCAGAGTTCCGCAACTGCGAGCCGTCGAGCAACCTACTTGCTGCACCGTCTCCCCATACAGGCACCACCGCATCGGCCCGATACGTGCGGGTGCGGGCGAGTCTCCGTCTCTGCGAGATCCACCAACCCCCCCGCTCCACCCCCATTTTTGCCGAATTACGCCACCACCCCGTTTCGGCGGCGGAACCGTTCGTCCCTCCAAGTGATCATACAACTCGTGGTCGAGCAGTGATCGCCACGTCTCACGGCTGTCTCGGTGACGACGGCGATGACGATGACGGCGATGAGGATGCGGTGGCTTCAGTAACCGCCCAACCGCTCGCCCGCCACCACGGCCAAGCGCGCGAACCACCGCCACCACCACCACCGCCACCACCACCACCGCCACCACCACCGCCATCACCACCACCACCCTCGCCCATCCCCTCCGTGGTCAACCGCCGAGGCGCGGACGACTCACGGGAGAGAGAGAGAGGGGAGAGAGAGGAGGGAGAGAGAGAGGAGAGAGAGGGGAGAGAGAGAGGAGAGAGAGAGGAGAGGGGAGAGAGAGGAGAGAGAGAGGAGAGGGGAGAGAGAGGAGAGAGAGAGGAGAGAGAGAGGGGAGAGAGAGAGAGGAGAGGGGAGGGGAGAGAGAGGGGAGAGAGAGAGAGGAGAGAGAGGGGAGAGAGAGGAGAGAGAGGGGAGAGAGAGAGGAGAGAGAGGGGAGAGAGAGGGAAGAGAGAGGAGAGAGGGAGGGGAGAGAGAGGAGAGAGGGAGGGGAGAGAGAGGAGAGAGAGAGAGGGGAGAGAGGGGAGAGAGAGGGGAGAGAGGAGAGAGAGGGGAGAGAGAGGGGGAGAGTTTCGTCGATCGGTCGATTCCGTTGGCTTCGCCGCTTCCCAACGACGCAGAGAGAATGTTCACGCGGCTGCCCGCGTGCACGCTACGGTTGTTGCGCGGTGGTGTCGTCGTTGTTGTTGTTGGTGTCGTTGTTGTTCTGTGAGTTGAGGAAGGTAGCTGGTGCTGGACGGAGAGTGTCGCACTCTCCTCCCCCCTTCTCTCCGTTACTCCTTCTAATTGTCCTGCCCCTCTTCCTTATCATCCTCCCTCTTCGTCTTCCTCCTCACGGCGAGAGGGATGGACGGGATGAGGAGGCAGCCCACGGCACCGATAAACAGCGGCAACTTAAAACTGCCCCTGCAAATTCACGGCAGCAAAAATCCGACAGGTGGCAAGGGAGTCACACGCGTGCAGTGCGGGCATGTGGGACTGCGTCGCGCGCTGTGCCGTCGCCTGTTTACCCGGGGCGTCCGTTCAGCACCACCGCGTCTCAAGGTGCCTCGTCTCACCACAGTGAAGGCGGGGGCTCACGGAGGCGCCCACTCACTCTGCCGATAGCTTAGAGAAGAGGCGAAGAGTCAGGTCTGGAGCCTCGTCGTGGACATTGGCGATCAATTTGCTTGGCTCGTTCTGGTTCTGATTTATCGGCCGATATCACACAGTGATTATTCTTTCCCGTGGGGGGGGGGGGGGGGGATCCCAGAATACACGAGGTGGAGGGGGGGGGGGAGACAGAAGAGAATGGACGACCTCTATCGCAGAGCGAGCGAGAGAATCAAATGGCCGTCACCTCCAGCTGCTGAGTGTGATGACGCTGCGACGCCGCCGCCGCCGAGGAGGAGGAGGAGGTGGAGCAGGAGGTGAGGCGAGGCTCCTTGTCCAGGGCGGCCGTCTGTGGGTGCGCGTGGACGGGCAGCAGGTCGTAGTGGCCGGGTATGTGGCTGTTCTTGGGGAGGTCGTACAAGCCGTGCTCCATCTGCTGCTGCTGCTGCTGACGCCGTAGCAACTGAGCGTGGCGGTGGTGCTGCTGCGGGTGGTGGTGGTGGTGGCGGCGGTGGTGAAGCTGTGCCGGCGCGTTTGTGTCGCCCGCACCACCGCCGTGCACCACGCTCACCGTGGGTTCTGCGGAGGTGAGAGGCAGCGATGGGAGTCGGTGCAGTTGCACCGCCTGTACACTCGATAGCGACGCTGCCCTTCTCATCCACAACTCCACTCTCATCTACGCACTCCCCAACATTCATCTCTCTCGAGCGAGCACTCCCCACTCTTATTTATTACAAAAATTATAATCATTAACTTATTTATTCAGCAAAGCAACGGCGATTAATGAGGAGGCCGGAACACTTGGAGATCCCCACGCGTGAAATGGGGCAACCCTTTTGGCGATGAGTAATCACCGCTGCACTGCCGTCTCCTGGCCAGCCAGGGGAAGGCAGCTCCTCTACGCACACCCACGGGAAGGGGTCTTCATCGCCCGTCCGTGCGGTGACCCACCAACCCTCGCCGCTGCTGCCTCCTGCACAGTGGCCGCATTGCAGGCAGCCACGTGCAGCAGCGTAGCCACCGCAGCCGCCGCCGCCGCAGCTCAGCCCCTGCTGTCTCCCCGCCACCGCCACACCCATCACACCCGCGCAGTGCTTGCCGCAAATGAGCCACAGTGCCTCGCTGATCTCGTCAAGGGGCACGACACTTCATCACGAGGACTCCGGACATCCTCGCAGCAGCTTGTGGCTCAGCCACCGAACAAAGACGACAGTCACCGCATCGCGCGATTTCCGACTCCGCTTCTACGGCCGTCTGGAACGCTCTTCCTTCCGACATACGGATGCCACTGGAGCTGTGCACTTTCAAATCATCATCTAGATGTAAAACTCATTTGTTCAGCACCGATGTTTGTGTTCAGTTTGTTGTCCTTCCCCCGCACACCTCAGTTTAGCACGGATTGGCGACATACGGCGCGAAAGAAGTTCAACACACCTCATGTCCACACACACACACTATCCACACACACACTACCCACACACACACACTATCCACACACACACACTATCCACACACACTACCCACACACACACACATACTATCCACACACACACTACCCACACACACACACATACTATCCACACACACGCATACTATCAACACACACACTACCCACACACACACATACTATCCACACACACACATACTATCCACATACACACATACTATCCACACACACACATACTATCCACACACACACACTATCCACACACACACACTATCCACACACACACTACCCACACACAAACACTATCCACACACACACACTATCCACATACACACACATATACTATCCACACACACACATACTATCCACATACACACACTACCCACACACATACACTATCCACACACACACATACACTATCCACACACACACATACTATCCACACACACATACTATCCACACACACACATACACTATCCACACACACACATACACTATCCACACACACATACACTATCCACACACACACATACTATCCACACACACACACACATACTATCCACACACACACATACACTATCCACACACACACATACACTATCCACACACACATACACTATCCACACACACACATACACTATCCACACACACATATTATCCACATACACACACATATACTATCCACACACACATATACTATCCACACACACACTACCCACACACACACACTATCCACACACACACACTATCCACACACACACTATCCACACACACACACTACCCACACACATACACTATACCACACACACACACTATCCACTCACACACACATACTATCCACACACACATACACTACCCACACATACACTACACACACACACTATCCACACACACACATACTATCCACATACACACACTATCCACACACACACTACCCACACACACACTATCCACAGACACACACTATCCACACACACACTACCCAAACACACACTATACACACACACTATCTACATACACACACTATCCACACACACACTACCCACACACACACTATCCACAGACACACACTATCCACACACACACTATCCACACACACACTATCCACAGACACACACTATCCACACACACACTATCCACACACACACTACCCACACATACACTATCCACATACACTATCCACACACACACACTATCCACACACCGCACACCCCTCACCCATCTCGTAGACGTTCCTGGTGCTGCCGGTGGCGACGTGGCCGGCGAGGCCGTGCGCCGGCGAGCAGACGATCTCCGCGTAGGTCGACTCCCGCGGCCCCCCCGGCCCCCCCGGCCCCCCCGGCCCCCCCGGCGCCTTCATCTCCACGTAGCCGGCCGCCTCGGAGCCCCGGGGGGGCGACACGGGGCCCCCCCCAGCCGGCGGGGGGGGCGACCTCGCGGGCGCGGGGGAAGCGGGGAGCGCGGGGGTCTCCCGGATCGTGGCGTAGGGGCTCTCGCTGCCCACCGAGCCAGAGCTGCCCCTGCTGCCCTTGCTGTACTCTGCACAGATGCATTCGAGGAGGCACGGATGGAGCGAGAGAGAGAGAGAGACACCGTGCCGTTTTGTAACATCTTCAAATCTGCAGCACTTTCGTCAATCCACCGCTGGGTTGAAGGTCGCCCCGTGTCACGATGGTCACGCGGCTAGACCATACTTCACCACGCCGGTCAACGCAGGAACGGGTCACATATCAATCGCCACTGATATCAGCCGCGGCCGCCAATGGAAATCTCCAACTCGGGTCGGCGCGTTTGTAGCGCAGTGCGCCAACAACTGCACCACCACTCCACCCATGATTGATTTTCACAACAGGCAGGAGGCGCACGAGACCTGTGCCGCAGGGCCACGAGAGATGGCGACGTGGGGAGGCATTCATCCAGCAGTGGATAGACCACGGCTACTGCTGCTAATGATATTCATAACCAAGCGTTAACTTGCAGACTAATGTAACGAATGAGATGAGTCAAACAAGACACAATCATGCCACACGCTACAAACGGAATCGACACTATATGCTTATAATAATGTATCGATTAAATTTTGATTTAAAGCTTTCGTGACTGCAGTTATTCATATTCTTGGTTCTTTCGGTAAAGTCACGTAGAAGGGAGATAATAAAAAATATAAAACAAAATTCTCACGACGTTTCGACTGCAACACAAGCAATCATCATCAGGTGTGAAATTTTCTTGCTGAAATTTGAAAATTTCTTGCTGTGGTTTTCACACCTGATGATGATTGCTTGTGTTGCAGTCGAAACGTCGTGAAAATTTTATTTTTTTATATTTTTATTATTTTGTTGTTTCCCTTCTACGTGACTTTACCGAAAGTACCAAGAATATATAATGTATCGATTCTTATGTTCATGTGATACGAAGAAGGGCCATTGCCCGAAACGTCGCCGATATATTTATCGTAATGCCACACGGTCTTTTTGACGAATGCGTTGAGTTTTTGTTGTCAATGTATTTGCGACCTGTGCTCGTGTGCCACTGCCAGCAGCAGCAGCAGCACGGAGCGTGCCCGCCCGAACCGACCCGCCGGCCGCCTGGGAGGGCCCTCCTGGCAGGTGGAGCCCTCCTGGCAGGTGGAGCCCTCCTGGCAGGTGGAGCCCTCCTGGCAGGACGGGCCGTGCCGCTCGCTCTACGGTGCGCGCTCTCTTTCGCTCTGCCCGGGTTTAAACCCGCGGCTTGCGAGTGAAGGGCGGCAATGCAGTTGTGGAGGGAGTGGGGGTGAGAGGGGGGGAGGGGGGTAGCCGCGTACCTTTGTGCGACTTGCAGGTGTTATAGGCTCTCTCCACGCCACAGGCGCCTGCGGAGGTACGGGACAGGCGGTCGGCCACTGAAGCCAGGGACACACAGCGCTCCTCCTCTCGCCTGCTCCACTTTGGAACTCCCTCCCATCATCATATTCAGCCATGATCAATACACTGCTGGATGAAGGCCTGCCCCCCCCTCCCCCACCCCTCCCAAAGCTGTCGCCGTCTCCCACGATCCTTTCACGTACCCAGGTGGTAGGGGTTGGTGGATCGCTTCCAGAGCACGGGCAGAGTGGCACTGCCCTCCGCGCAGCGCGCTGCCAGCTTCTCCCGCTCCAGGTTCTTCATCGCGGGGACGCGGGCATTGTTGGGCTGGTACACAAAAACAAAGATCCCCAAACTGTCAGGGCAAGTGCTGTTGGCGAGTAGTACATATGAAGGTCAAAACGGCGCGCGAGGGCGTGGGTGGCCAACACCACGCCCAGCCGTGGCGTTTAATACATATTGCACCAGGCACTCATTTGAGGCCGAGTCGACCTAGAGGAGACCCAGGACCCGGTAAAAAAAAAAAACATCTCCCACTTGTATTGGCCGTGAGCGGGAATCGAACTCGGGTGTCGGGGATGGCAGTGCTCGCCGCACCCTGCCCGTGCAGCGCAGCTCCAAGTTGTTGTTGGCGATGCCCTGCGCACTGTGGCCCTGGCTCAGGGTTTGGTAGCCTGGGTTCACATACAGGCTGTGGCAGCCGCACTGCACCGGGTGTTCTGTCTCAGCACAAACAACAACAACAACAACCAACAGCAACAACACAGGTTATTCACGCATGTAGGCGCACTCATATCGGCCAACCGATATGAGTGCGCCACTCAACATGAAAGTGTTTTATTAATGATCAGAGTCACACGTCTCCCGGCTATATTCATTTGCCCGTTAAACTGAAGGTCCTGCCGGTTTAAAAATAATCCCTTGGTATTTACCGTGTGCTCAAAGGAGTTGAGACATATGTCACGGTGAATGCACGTAGAGTCGTGGTAGTAGAGACAGAGACGTTTAGAACAAGAAGAAGGAGGGGTTGGTTCATGAGTTAGTAGACTAGGTGAGTAGGTGAGTGAGTGGATTAATGAGTGGGTAGGTGAGTAGGTCAGGAGCAGAGTGCCACTCGCCTACGATTAGAACAATTGGTTACGTACGGTGCAAAAAAAGTTCAACATACACACACAAAGTCGTAGAAGACGCATAAACGGAGAGAGAGAGAGAGAAGAGGAGGGTGGATCTTGAGCCCCCCAGAGAGGACAATGAGATTCTCAGAGGTTGAACTTTTACATAAAAAGTAACACATCGAGACACTGAGACTTCCCTTAACCGTGTGCATATTGAGTGGCACCCAAGTGAAGGGCCAAATCCAGAAACGTCGCCTTTCATGTACTTATTTTCTGTTATTGACGAATGCGTTGAGTTTTGCTTGTTTGTTATTTTGTTATCTGTGCCTGTTGCACCGCTGCCAACGCAACAACAACAACAGCATACACGTAGTCCGGACATTAAAATCTCTACCACGGGAGGGAGCTCTCCAGCTTGGCGTGAACACTCGGGCGCGTGCGGTTAGAGGAGTCACCGTGCATCGGTTGACATTGATCGTCCCAAATCACGGTACGTGCCATCGAACTGCGTGTGTTAGCCACCAACGTGCTCATTAGCACGTACGTATGTACGTGCGTCTGTGCATGCACGTGAGGATCCACCCATGATAGCACCGCATGTGGGCGCCTGCATCTCTCTCCCTGTGTCCGTGTCTCTCCGCGCGTGCACGTGTCTCGGCGCGCGTGCACGTGTCTCTGCGTATCTCCCTGCGCGTGCACATTTCGTGTATTATTTCCTCTCTCGCTGCACGTGCACGCATTCGTTTCTCTGCCCATTTATGTCTGTCTCCCTGTGCGCGCGCGCGTACAACGTGTGTGTGTGCGTCTCTCTCGTTCTCTGCGCGCGCGTGCACGTGTGTGTGTGGTATCTCTCTCGTTCTCTGCGCGCGCGTGCACGTGTGTGTGGTGTCTCTTTCGTTCTTTGCGCGCGCGTGCGCGTGTGTGGTATCTCTCTCGTCCTCTGCCCGCGCGTGCACGTGCGTGTGTGTGGTATCTCTCTCGTTCTCTGCTCGCGCGTGCGTGTGTGTGGTATCTCTCTCGTCCTCTGCGCGCGCGTGCACGTGCGTGTGTGGTATCACTCTCGTCCTCTGCGCGCGCGTGCACGTGCGTGTGTGTGTGGTATCTCTCTCGTCCTCTGCGCGCGCGTGCACGTGCGTGTGTGTGTGGTATCTCTCTCGTCCTCTGCGCGCGCGTGCACGTGCCTGCGTGCGCGCACTCCGACGCCACGGACCGCGCCGCGCCGGCGCTGAACGAGGCCGCGGCCGCCGCCGCCGCCCCGGCTCCCGGTTCGCGCCGCCCGCCGCGGGCGAGGCCGCGCAGCCGCCGCCGTCTCCGCCGGTAGAACACCGCGAGCAGCAGCAGCGACAGTAGCAGCAAGAGCAGCAGCAGCAGCACCAACACCACCCCGACCACCGCGCCCAGCGACTCCCCGCCCGCTGCCTCCTCGGGCGGCCCGCCCGCCCCGGCCGATGGGGCCAAGGCCGGGGAGGACGGCAGTCCCACGGGCACGAGAGGAACGAGGGCACCAAATCCCTCCACTCCCATCCCCATGCCCCCTGAAGCGCGCCACCCCCAAGGGGAGCAGAGGAGAGACACACACCCACAGGCGCACGTGGAGAGAGAGAGAGAGAAGACAATGATTAACGTGATTACAATCAGTCAAAGTCGAGTTTAAGTGTTGCATGAACATTATCACTGGTGCTGAGCCAATGGTGGGAACTTCACATCATACGGCGGGGAGCAGTCTCTCCGCACGACGACCACTGTTGAGTGCCCACGAAGTCATGATGATGATCATTGTATCGACACTGGTGGGATGATGATGATTATGACCGTGATTGTGATTTTAATAATGGTGATAATTGTTAATCACCATGTGGCCACGTGGTCATTATAATGATGATAATGCTGGTGGCCATGGTGATTGTGATGATGAAAATGCTGCTGGTGGTGGTGATGATGATGTTGGAGACTGGCTGGGTAACCTCACCCTGACCGGGACTTAAACTGGGACGTTCCCACTTGTGGGGTGAGCTCTGGGCTCACTGCCACGCGGGTGGACACGAAACGCTCCGAAGCGGTCGCTGCTCGTCGTCTCATTGTGTGTAATTATCTTTTTTTTGTGTGGAGCAAATGTATCGTGTTTTATTGGGCAGGGTGCAATTTGTGCCAATATAGTTTGCACATTAATTTAACTTGCACGTTTCCTTTTTTTGTTAAACCGCTCATCAAACTAAATGAGCTTGGTGAGCAGTGCGGCGTGGTGTGGTTGTGCTGTTGTGTGTGTGCGGCGTGTGTGTGTGTGTGTTGGTGTGGTTGTCTTTGTGTGGTGTGTTCGTGCGTGCGGTTGTGTGTGCGAGTCTGTGCGGTCGCGCGTGTGTGCGTCGGTACGACTGTGTGTGCCATGTGGCTTTGTGCGCATGGACACGCTTGTGTGTGTCGGTGGCGCTCTGCTGCGTGGCGTGGCCGTGCGTGCTCGCGAACGCCACTTGTCCCAACGGTCTGATAGGGCTACACGGGGGATCTTTGTCTGTGTTTCTGTGTGTGTGCGTGCGTGGTGCTGGCCACCCACCCCCTCGTGTACCGTTCCGGCCTTCATAGGTGCTCGCTAACAGCACTTGCCCCTACAGTCTGTTACAGGCTATATGGGGGATCTTTGTTTTGTGCGCGCGTGTGACTGTGCAGTGTGGTGCTGTATGTGCCGTGTAATCTTTGCTGTGGGTCTTACACGCAGGGCATGTGAGGATTGATGGTGTGTGTGCGCGTGTCCACACACGTGTCCACATGTTTGGTATCGTAGCATGAAGCAATGCCATCAATTAGCAATGCTGCGGTCTCATTGGTCCACGCAGGAATGCAGGGTCATTTACTGTGCGGGCGAAATGCGTTCAAAAGGCCTATTAGTGGTCGCATTTCTCTTAATTAAAGAGGCGCACTCGCCCCGACTGTTAATAAACCACCAGGATGGATTCAGACAGACGATCAGCACATTAACTCATGGAATTTACGACGATAATGAGCCAAGAATGTCAGTGTGTCCCGCGCGTGACGTCGCTCCACGTCGGCCAGCCTCGGTCATTAATAAACATGAACAGGTTACGTGCTGCCTTAAAGCTTTCGTAACCGCAGGAGTTCATATTCTTTGGTTCTCCGTAAGGCTATTGAGACATAGACGTAAAAAGGAGGTCATGATGAACAAGGGATTATAACATTTAAATGAAATAAGTCTGTGTCACCGCGCCCTTACTAATTGCACACAAATTGATGCAATGAATATATCACGTCGCGGTCTGTGCTTTACGCTTGCAAGTTTCAGATTTACTGCAATACACCCGTCCTCGGACGGGCAAAAGGCGAGTGCCTTCACTCATGTTACAAACGCCGGTGACACCGACAGCGCCTGCCACTCCAACCTTCCCTACCAACACGAATGCAAGACTGCCTCCCTCTGTGAAGAGCAGTATTTCCTGACGATGGTCAGTGAATCGGATCGTTGACATATAAAAAATTTTCTCAGCGACAAAATTTTTTTCTGAATAACAACTTTGTTGTTGGTTCTAATGAACCTGCAACCTCATGTATATGTCTATCTATGTATGTGTGTAACTGTGTATGTATGAGTGCTGCGGGGAGCGGTTGTGCAGCGGTTAGCGCATTGCGCTACAAACTCGGCGACCTGAGTTCGAGTCCCGCACATGGCCCAACACCAATGATGATTATCTGAACCGGTTCCGGGCATTTCCTCGGTTGACTTAGCCTCAAATGAGTACTTGATGCGGTGTGTAAACATCGCCACGAGGGAGACAAAGGCGGCCGGGCGTGGTTCTGTCCACTCACCCCCTTCGCGTGCCGTGCGCCCTTCGTAGGTTGCTGCTCGCTAACAGCATTTGCCCCAAAATCCTGCTCAGGCTATACGAGGAATCTTTGTCTTTGTATGTGCGTGTCCGTCTTTGTAAGTATATGAGTTTTGTATGTGTGATGTCTGTATGGGTTTGTCGTGTGTATTTGTGTGTGTTAGTGCGTATGCTTGCATGCATGTGTGTGTGTCTGTGTTGGCGTAGCTGTGTATCTTACTGCTGACACAGCCCTGCACCGGGTGGCACATCTGATATGAGAAGCAATCACAGCGGAACTGGCACTGAGGACCATAGTGGCTGGGCTGACACGCTGATGTCAGGGAGGGGGCACATGGTGAGTGAGTGAGTGGGTGAGAGTGTGTGAGGGGTTGAGTGAGTGAGTGGGTGTGTGAGATGGGTGTTTGAGAGGGTGAGTGAGTGAGTGGGTGAGTGAGTGGGTGAGTGAGTGGGTGAGTGGGCGAGTGAGTGAGTGAGTGTGTGAGAGGGTGAGTGTGTGAGAGGGTGAGTGAGAGGGTGTGTGCGAGGGCGTTTGAGAGGGTGAGTGTGTGTGTGAGAGGGTGAGTGAGTGTGTGAGAGGGTGAGTGTGTGAGAGGGTGAGTGAGTGGGTGAGTGAGTGTGTGAGTGAGTGTGTGAGAGGGTGGGTGAGTGAGTGTGTGAGAGGGTGAGTGAGTGGGTGAGTGGGTGAGTGAGTGTGTGAGAGGGTGAGTGAGTGAGTGAGAGGGTGAGTGAGTGAGAGGGTGAGTGAGTGAGTGTGTGAGAGGGTGAGTGAGTGAGTGAGTGGGTGAGAAGGTGAGTGAGTGAGTGTGTGAGGGTGTGAGTGGGTGAGTGAGTGTGTGAGAGGGTGAGTGGGTAAGTGAGTGAGTGTGTGAGAGGGTGAGTGAGTGGGTGAGACGGTGAGTGAGTGTGTGAGAGGGTGAGTGAGTGTGTGAGAGGGTGAGTGAGTGTGTGAGAGGGTGAGTGAGTGAGTGTGTGAGAGGGTGAGTGTATGAAAGGGCGAGTGTGTGAGGGGGTGAATGTGCGAGAGGGTGAGTGAGTGGGTGAGTGGATGAGTCCATCAGAAAACACAAAAACACAAACACACACACACAAATTATGCTAAAATAATGAAAATGAAAATGCAACTAATTTAGGTGGCGAAATATGCATGGACGCTTACATATTTAAAGTTCACAGGCAAAAATAATATTAACAGCAAAAACATCACCAAAATAAACATTTCCAGCCTTCGAAAAAAAAACCGAGCATAAATAAGACCGTGTCGTTTTACACGCGCTACTGAAATAATCTCGCAGATGGCAACTAAAGCGGGTAAATAGAAGTCACGACGGGCACTGGCACAGGGAGACGAGACGGGGCCTATTCAGCACCGCGCGTGGCAATGTCCGCACAATAACAACACATTTCGTCTGACTCGACTCCCCTCCACGCACTCTCGTTCCCCTCTCATCTCACTCTACTCCCCTCCACGCACTCTCCTACCTCTCCCCTCTCATCTCACTCTACTCCTCTCCACGCACTCTCCTACCTCTCCCCTCTCGTCTCACTCTACTCCCCTCCACGCACGTTCTTACCTCTCTCCCTTGCCGTCTCATCCACCATTCACTTTTTACAGAGATGCGTTTTAAGTGCCTAACATTTAGACCGTATCGTTACCCTGCCGTACAGGGCAGGTGCCCACGTGAATTCCCATCACTCGTGTGCGTGAACCTCGAGAGAAATAAACAAGTTAATGTGTCGATTGAGTCTCAACACATTTGTTGGTGTTGTAATTTCTCCCCGCTTCTCCAGTTCTGTATGTCTTTGCATGAAAGTACTTTCACGTTGGAAGAGTCCCGCGAGAAGGAGCGCCGCGCGTTTTAAAATCTATACCCCCGTACAGAATTCATACGGTGAGCATCACACGCAGTCAAAACGCGTAACGTAAATGCGCAAACACACGACTAATTAAGTGGCGCTCACCGATCCGCTCACGGAGGATGTCCTCTCGAGCCGTGACGGGTTTGCAGACGTTGTTCGAGCGAGTTTTAATTGGGAACGTAACGAGTTGAGAGTGGCGCCGCGTATGTTCCTGTGTCTGGGAGGTCGCGCTGCGTCTGCGTATGCGCGGGTCTCCACTCGGTGGGGTGGCAGCTACGGCTTTAGGACCGCAGAGAGAGAGCAGAGTGGTCTTTGTTGTTGTTGTGGGTGGCGTGAAACGACGGTTGTTGAGATCAGCTAAGGGAAGGGACCATGAACGAGATTTTTAAATGTAATTGTTTGAAATTTTAATTCTTATTTTACAAAGCATATATGTCGCGTGTATCTTAATCGTGATTCTTAAATGTTATATAAGCGGACAACTTTATCTATCTGTGATGAAGGCTGCACTTTCCGTAGTTTCCATGCAGGGGGCGCTGCAAACCTACACGCGCCCCCTGCATGAACGACCGAGGGGCAGGGACAGACGCTCGATCACGTTGGAATCGATCTGCAGACGGCGGTCTTCTCGCACGGCCAGCAGCTCCACGTCGCCTTATCTCGATCCCGCAATCCCAACCAGGTGGAAGTCCGCATCGAACCGAACCCCCAGCAAGGCCATCTACTTAACGAAATGTCCTTTTCAATTAAGTCTTCCAGATGTAAAATGACATAGGCCTTTAATGAAGAAATAAAATATCTAATTCAAAACATTAAACAATTAAATGATGTTTCATTTTAAAACTTCAAAACGGAGCATCGCGTGCTTGCGTGAATGCGTCGTTCGTGTGCCATTTTTTTCGTGACTTTCCCGAACAACCCCTAGTTACTTATAAATATGTTCGTGTTAGTTGTAATGTCGGTGAGTAACACTGAGTCTGTGCTGGGTGAACAGCAGTGGAGCTCGGTTTTGCCCAATCCCGGCCCATCTGGCTCGACCAACTTAATCAATAATTAATCAATAAAACAAATGGGGAGTTTGAATGTTTACATCGTGCAAGTCACTCAAGATGCACAGCAGAGCCAACCTGATACCAGCACCACGTGTCACCCGCGGGTCTCATGTCGTCAACTAATTGGTTGACGTATCATCATTCCACTGCTTGTGCTTCCTTCTGTTCGCGATGTTAACGTGGCCCTGAACGCGCGGCAATGGGCAGTGCAGAGAGCGCCGTACCGGAGTCACAACTCAGCCCCGTCCACCCGCTGGCGCAGGAGCAGGCCCCGCTCACGGGCTCACACGTGCTGTTGTTGGTGCAGCCACACGCCAGCTGGCACCGCAGGCCGTACGAGCCCTGGGGACACGCTGTGTGCACACAACGCACACGCGAATGCAAGGATTCCCTCTCCCATCTCCCGTGTAAGCCTTGAGCAGACTGTTGGGGCAAGTGATGTTAGCGAGCACCGGTTGAAGGCTCCCACCGCACAACGAAGTAGTAGTGGGGTCGTTAGAACCGCGCCCTGCCGCCTTTGTTTCCCCAGTGACACACCGCAGCTTGGTTTTCAGTTAAGGCAGAGTCGACCTAGCGGAGGCCCGGATACGGTGTTCCGATATTATTCGTCGCTGACGTTAACCATGGCGAGGAATCGAACCTGGGTCGCCGGTTTCGTCGCGCGCTGCGTTAACCACTGCCCCACCGCTCCCCCGTACATACACAGCCGCACAAAGCCGAACACAGGACTGGTACAGACACCGTGGCTGACCGCACCGAACCCCCACGCCCCGCGGTCCTGCGACAAATCCGCGTCTCGCTCTTACGTCTCGCTCTTACGTCTCGCTCCTACGCACGGACGCTCTCATCCGCTCCCTCCGTCGGCCGCCATTCCGTCACCGGTCTTCCTCGTCGTGGCGTGTCCTGCCCAAGAGCGCTGACTTCGCTTCGCGGTCAACGCGATGCGTCGTCTGATTTGTTGTCGTTTCCTGATCCGTGTGCTCCTATTTTTGCTTCTCGGAATAAGTCAAAGCACGCAGCTCTCCACGCTTCTCTGCGCACTTTCCAGCCTTTGTTCAATTTCCTTTGTGAGTGTCCCGCGTTTCTGATCCATACCTCGGAGCTGACACTTTGCATTGATCGCAAACTTCTTCGGGCATATCAGCACGTCGCTTTTCGTTATCAAGTTTTAGTCGGTTTTTTTCCCCTCTCTTTTCAAAACTTCTCCGTCTCGCTCTCGTTTGCAACGATTTCATCAGCGCTATACACATTCTGCAGACACTGGCCCCGCGGCCAATATATTCTCACAGTTTTGTTTTGTTTTACGCGAGTAAACATCCCTACGTCGGTTCAACGTCTGCGTGTGGTTGTTGCCGTTGAGCAAAAGTTTTCCCAACCAACGTTCCACGTTAAGACATTCAGATGGAACATCTCGTTTGCTATGGTGTCGAGGGTGTAAAATCACACAACACACAGGCAGCACAAAGCTGCGTCCCTCCAACAGTTCATTTGGTGAGCATTTGATTTGGAACCCGCAGGCTTTTGGGACAAGTGCTGTTAGCGAGCACCTATTAAGGTCACGACAGAGTGGTGTGGTCAGGACCACGCACGGGCATTTTATGTTGAGCTTCTCTCGCACCGCACGTAGCCATCAGAGGTGCGGATGTAAGCTCTCCAACGCTGATATTTTCCGTACCGCACCAGCTACTCATTTATGGTCGAGTCGACCTAGGAGAGTGGCTCTTAACCTGGGGGGTGCGAGATGCCCTTTCTGGGGGGAGCGAGGCATGGCCAGATTATTTAGAAGGTAAATAATCGAAACACCAATCAAGCACGGGCTCGTAAGTACAACTTTGTTTCCTCAAACCTATGTTTGTATTCACATGATAAGTTGTCGATTTAAAGCTTTCGTGACTGCAAGGATTCATCTTCTTGGATCTTTCGTTAAAGTCACGTAGAATGAGAATAAAGCAATAAAACAAAATAAGACAATAAAATTCTCACGACGTTTCGGCCACAACACAAGTAGCCTTCTTCAGGTGAAGGAACAGAACTGTCGGGACGACAGCGCTTCAATGAACGCTGCTAAGATTCGCAGCGTCTTTTAAGCTATATGTAAACATATGTAAACTCCTTTGTCAAGGCGCTTCACTTCTTCAACCTAACTTAAACGACGCTGCGAATCTTAGCAGCGTTCATTGAAGCGCTGTCGTCCCGACAGTTCTGTTCCTTCACCTGAAGAAGGCTACTTGTGCTGTGGCCGAAACGTCGTGAGAATTTTATTGTCTCATTTTGTTTTATTGTTTTATTCTCATTCTACGTGACTTTACCGAAAGGACCAAGAAGATGATAAGTTGTGTTCCGATTGAGAACCAAAGTGGCGCAAGGCTGCAACGAAAGGCGAAGCACCGCTGAGCGAGGGAAACCCCGCAACCGGCTCGCATCCACCGCTCGCCACCGACGTTCAGCCGCCGATGCCGAATCCCGGCGACGTCCTCGCCACGCCGCTCGCGCTCGACCCCGACACGCGGCGCCCCCTGCCCCGCCGGACTCAACGGGCGCCCGCGGACTGGCGCCACCTACCGAGCTGGCAGCGCGCGCCCGTGAAGCCCGCGGGGCACGAGCAGCGCCCCGTCGCGGACTCGCAGTCGGCGCCGTTCTCGCACGCGCAGCGCTCCTTGCAGCCAGCGCCGAAGAGGCCGACCGGGCAGCCTGGGCAGCGGGGGCAGTGGGAAGGGTGAGGGGGGGGGGCGCGGGGATGATCCTCCTATGTATGCACGTTGAACTTCTTTCGCACCGTACGTAGCCAACCGTGCTGATCGGTGGCACGTGGGCCACTCTGATCGATGACGATCGCGATGTGTGTTGGACCACGTGTGCACGGCGGGCAGCGGTGCCGTGTATTGTGCACCGCGCTGCGAACCCCGCGAACCGAATTGAATTCGCGGGCTGACGCGAGCCGTGATATTTGAATCGTTCCCGGGGTCTCCTCTAGGTCAACCTCTACGGGAGGTTGGAAAGGGTGAAATCGTTACACCTTTAATGAACAGCGGCGCGTCCGTGTCATGCAATGCGCTGTGAACCCCGTGTCCCGAGCTCGATTCCAACTCACAAACAACACCTGGGGCGATGTCTAAACGCATCAGCACTCGGGGAGACAAAGGCGGCCGGGCGTGGTGTACGGGCACACCACCCCTTTGTGTGTACCATGCCGGCATTCGTAAAAGTTGCTACAGTACTCGCCATCAGCACTTGCCCGTGAGGCTATACGGGAGATCTTTGGGGGGAGTGGTGGTGTAGAGGTTAGCGCGCTGCGCTATGAATCCACACGGGTTCGATTCCCGCTCACGGCCAACACCAGTGACGATTATCTGAACCGGTCTCGGGCCTCCCCTAGGTCGACTCAGCCTCAAATGAGTACCTGGTGCGGTGTGTAAACATTGCCACTAGGGAGACAAAGGCGGTCGGGCGTGGTGCTGGCCACCCACCCACCCCCTCCTGTACCGTTCCGGCCTTCATAGGTGCTAACAGCACTTGCCCTTACAGTCTGTTACAGGCTATATAGGGGATCTTTGTCTTTACTCTTTGGTTCTATTGGGTAAAGTCACGTAGGTAAAAAATAAAATAACAAAAAATCAGGTGAAGGGACCAACCTGTCCGGAGGACAGCGTTGTACGTATGTGTGTGTACGTGTGTGTGTGTACGTGTGTGTGTGTACGTGTGTGTGTACGTGTGTGTACGTGTGTGTACACGTGTGTGTGTGTACGTGTGTGTACACGTGTGTGTACACGTGTGTGTGTGTACACGTGTGTGTGTACGTGTGTGTGTACACGTGTGTGTACGTGTGTGTGTACACGTGTGTGTACGTGTGTGTGTGTACACGTGTGTGTACGTGTGTGTGTGTACGTGTGTGTGTGTACATGTGTGTGTGTACGTGTGTGTGTGTACGTGTGTGTACGTGTGTGTGTGTACGTGTGTGTACGTGTGTGTACGTGTGTGTGTACGTATGTGTGTGTACGTGTGTGTACGTGTGTGTACACGTGTGTGTGTACGTGTGTGTACACGTGTGTGTGTACACGTGTGTGTGTACACGTGTGTGTGTGTACACGTGTGTGTGTACGTGTGTGTGTACACGTGTGTGTACGTGTGTGTGTACACGTGTGTGTACGTGTGTGTGTACACGTGTGTGTACGTGTGTGTGTGTACGTGTGTGTGTACATGTGTGTGTGTACGTGTGTGTACGTGTGTGTGTGTACGTGTGTGTGTGCACGTGTGTGTGTACGTGTGTGTACGTGTGTGTACGTGTGTGTGTACGTATGTGTGTGTACGTGTGTGTACGTGTGTGTACACGTGTGTGCGTACGTGTGTGTACACGTGTGTGTGTACACGTGTGTGTGTCTTCTCGGCCACGGTCATTCCCTCCCTTCTCTACGCTTGCGAAACGTGGACCCCCCTAATGGAACATCTTCGCCGGTTAGAAACATTTAGGCTGGCCTGCCTACGATCCATCCTGGGTTTAACCAGACTGGATTGTGTGAGGAGCTCACAAATCCTTGAAAGATCTGGGCAGGGTCCCATCGGTGAGCTCCTCCGCCAGGCAAGGCTGCGATGGCTGGGTCATGTAGCCCGCATGTCCAGCCACCGCATGCCGAAACAGCTTTTGTTTGGCCGGATTGAGGGGGCTAAGCGGGCGCGGCACGGGCTAGAGAAGAGATGGAGTGATGTGGTACAGGAGGACGTGGAGCTGAGTGGACTTGCCGATGACTGGTACCAGCGGTGTCAAGATCGGCCTCTGTGGAGGAGGCTCGTGAAGGATGCTACTGGGCAGTTGGAGGCAGTCGCCCTCCAACAACAACGGAGGGCGGAGGAGCGACGCTCACAACAGCGAGCGGAGCGCCGGGTGGCTAAAGCACAGCAGGTTGGCACAGTAGGGGGCACAGGTGGTGCATCAGCCAGTCATCTCAGTCAGTCGACCCGTGGCACCTGGGTCTGCCCCGTGACCTCCTGCCAGCGGGCGTTCGACACTTCACGTGGCCTCAGGGTGCACATAGCCTGGCACAAGCGTCGTGGTGACGTCACCGCCACTTAGTGGCGAATGGCGGTTGTTGTTGTTGTTGTTGTGTGTACACGTGTGTGTGTACGTGTGTGTGTACACGTGTGTGTACGTGTGTGTGTACACGTGTGTGTGTGTACACGTGTGTGTACGTGTGTGTGTACACGTGTGTGTGTACACGTGTGTGTACGTGTGTGTGTGTACGTGTGTGTACGTGTGTACGTGTACGTGTGTGTGTGTACGTGTGTGTGTGTACGTGTGTCTTAGCGCGCGGTCCGTACGCCGCGTGCAGTGCGCTCCCATCCACCCGGCCGAGCACGTGCAGCTCCCGTCGCGCGCGCTGCACCCCCCGCCGTTGTGGCAGCTGCACGTGTGCAGGCAGTTAGCCCCCCACAGGCCCGGCGGGCAGGCTGCACGCACACAAAGACAAAGGACCCCCGTATAGCATTAATAGGCTGTGGGGGCAAGTCCTATGAAGGCTGGCACGGCTGCGCGAGGGTAAGCGTTGTAGTCAGAACCACGCCCTGCTGCCTTTGTCTCCCCCCAGCGCTGACGTGTACCACACCACGCCAGGTCTTCGTTTAAGGTGGAGTCAAACTCGAGGATGTTTAAATATTCGCCCCCTGGTATTCGTCGCAATCGAACTCGGGTTCTTCGCTCCCCCAACAGGCCGCACAGACACAACAACAACAATCGCCATTCGCCACTAAGTGGCGGTGACGTCACCACGACGCTTGTGCCAGGCCATGTGCACCTTGAGGCCACGTGAAGTGTCGAACGCCCGCTGGCAGGAGGTTACGGGGCAGACCCAGGTGCCACGGGTCGACTAACTGAGATGACTGGCTGATGCACCACCTGTGCCCCCTAATGTGCCAATCTGCTGAACTTTAGCCACCCGGCGCTCCGCTCGTTGTTGTGAGCGTCGCTCCTCCGCCCTCCGTTGTTGTTGGAGGGCGACTGCCTCCAACTGCCCAGTAGCGTCCTTCACGAACCTCCTCCACAGAGGCCGATCCTGACACCGCTGGTACCAGTCATCGGCAAGTCCACTCAGCTCCACGTCCTCCTGTACCACATCACTCTATCTCTTCTCTAGCCCGTGCCGCGCCCATTTAGCCCCCTCGATCCGGCTGAACAAAAGCTGTTTCGGTATGTAGTGGCAGGGCATGCGGGCTACATGACCCAGCCAACGCAGCCTTGCCTGCCGGAGGAGCTCACCGAAGGGACCTTGCCCAGATCTTTCAATGATTTGTGAGCTCCTCACACAATTCAGCCTGGTTAAACCCAGGATGGATCGTAGGCAGGCCAGCCAAAAAAGTTTCTAACCGGCAAAGATGTTCCATTAGGGGGTCCACGTTTCGCAAGCGCAGATAAGGGAGGGAATGACCGTGGCCGAGAAGACCTGAAGCTTCGTGCGGAGCGACAGACCAGGTAGTTTCCACACAGCGTTGCGCAAACGATGAAAAGATATTGCCGCTCGACTGATTCGGAGTGAGACCTCTGCTGTTAAACTGGAGCCGGTCATAAGCATACTGCCCAGGTATGGGAAACTCTCCACTCTCTCCACAACTGCCCCATCACTGATTGGGAGTTGTGGGGGTGGAGTGTCCGATGGTACAAAAGACCTAGGCAGGTGCTTAGTTTTGGTGGGGCTGATGGTAAAGCCCCATCTCTTAGTGGCACGCTCCAGTCTCAGCAGCAGCGTCTCCAACTCCTCCTCTGAATGAGCAGCTATTACCAAATCATCGGCATACATAACGTGGTTGAGCGATAGGGAGCCATCCCTTGACCGCACCCGGGCATCAATCAGCCTCCCATTATATCTGTACCAAATGGAGATTCCCCCGGTACAGCTATTGAAGGCTTCACGAACTACGTGGTCAAAATAGATGTTAAATAATGTGGGAGCCAGAGGACATCCCTGTCGCACCCCAAGGTGTACAGGGAATTGCTCTGACTCTCGGCCACGTAGTTTTACCCGGCCCCGCTCACGGATACAAGCACACACACACGCGCATGTGCATGGGGGTGGAGCGGTGGGACAGTGGTTCGCGCGCACTGCACTCGGCACCCAGCGTCGCGTGACCGCTGCGTGGCGACAGGACGCCTCCTCCTCCTCCTCACCCTGCGAGCAGTCCCGGCCGAGCCACCCCGGCGTGCAGTGACACGTGCCGTCCACGTGGCTGCAGGAGCTGTTGTTGGCACACGCACACTCCTCCCGGCACCCGCGCCCGTACCTGCCTGGGGGACACGCTGGGGGGTCGAGAGGGGGGGGGGGGGGGTTAATCCAGGGGTAGGAAACACGTGGCTCTTTAAGGACCGCTTCGTGACGTTTTCGCCACGTGCATTGCGGATCTTGAAATATTGAGGTTTTGTTTGACCGAATTCGAATGATAAACGGCTTTCATTGTTATTTTGGGTTGGTGGCCACTGGGTTAATCAAATGATTAAGCTCAATAAAATCAGGCCTTAAAGGATGAAATACTTTATAGGCAACGTTTCAGGAAATTGACCTTTTGCATAGCAGTCTAAATGTATTTGTTTAACCGGCTGAGAAGGCGAGCGACCAGGGCGTCGTTTGTAGGATTTCACGACCAATATGATTCTAAATGAGGGAAGTCTCGTTTGCAAGCGTGACCTGGGTTACCAAAATGGTCAAGGATGCTATAGTAAAAATATTAATAATGTGTCGTTTTATTTGTATTTAAAGGCGTCGTTCATGCAAATTGCATCTTAAAATGCTACAGAATATGCAACGCGCACAGCTTTTGCACAGAGGCTCGGGAAAAGCAGAGACGCGATTCGGAGGCAGCCAGAACCGGCGCCAACAATTGCCAAAGCTCTGTGATCCTTTATTGGGATGTTTGGCCAATTCCATTCACGAGTGGCTTACACAAGTGGCAGGCCATCGGGAGGACGCCGAGAAAACCCACGAGGCTCAAAGCCGAGGGCGGATTAACCTCTATCCTTATCGAGAGCCTGTGCAATGGAAACAAAAACCGATGATCTATTGGGTTAATCGACGAGTAATTGACGAGTTTGTGCGTTGGGCGCACCCTGGTCGCAGAGCTGCCCCGTGAACCCGGGCAGGCAGCGGCACTCCCCCGTCACGTGGTGGCACGGCCCGTTGCCGTGTAGACACTGGGGGCAGGCCTGGGCACAGCCGAGGCCGAAGGTGCCTGGAGGGCACACTGTGGGGTCCGGGGTGGGCACGATGAGGATGATGATCAGTCATTACAATGGTGATTATTATCGTGATGATAAGATGGTCATGATTCGGAACGACAGTCAATAATTGATGATCGTTATTTGTTGTCCTTCCCGTCGCACCGCCTGGTTAGCGCGGTTGGCTACGTACGGTGCGAAAGAAGTTCAACGTGCAATCATAATTATGAATGTGATTATTAAAATAGGCTTAATACATATTTGTAAATCACAGGTATACCTACGTGCTCTCTCGTCTGATTACGTGACATTACCTACCGAGTAGATGACACGATACTGATTACTGCTGGCCGCTCTCCGGATGACGTGATTGCTAAGCTCCAGGGTGATTTCAACAAACTACAACATCAGCTAGTTTCTCTTAAACTAGTCCTGAATACCTCCAAAACCATGGTGCTATGCTTCTCACCAGGTCTAAAGCAGGAAGTTATTTTTCCCCAATTACATTCCTTAAATAATTATCAAATAGAGCAAGTCAAGATCTATAAGTATATTGTTGTCATCCTGGATTCAAAACTGAATTTTGAAGATCACATTGATTATATTGGTAAAAAGACAAAAATAAAAATTGGTTTTCTGTATCGACACAAGCACTGCTTCCCCCCAATGTTCCGTTTGGAATTGATAAAAGCTACCATACTGCCTCTACTTGATTACTGTTACATCGTGTATAAATCAGCCCCAAATACTGCACTGAAGAAGCTTGATTCCATCTATCACTCGGCCTTAAGATTTCCATTGAACTGCCCATATAGGACTCACCACTGTGATCTCCACATTGGGTCAAACTTAACATCTTAATCTAAGTTGTCTTGTGGTTGTTGTTGTTGTTTGACTTGCATCCCACTGGGATTTTTGCCCACAGCGTTGGTGTACGGTGCTTTTTCAGGAATATTTTTGCTGTTTTTTCCTGTATTTTCTGTTTGCACAGTCACATAGTCACTTTAAGATGTTTTCTTGTTCATGTTTTTTGTTTTTTGTTTGTTGCGGTTGCACCCGATTCAAGAGCCGAATGGCTCACAGGGCTATACCAAATAAATGAAACTGAAAACTGAGACTTATGCTAACCTGCCTGCCTACCTGGGTACCTAACAACGGTGGGGGCGGGGTGGTGCGAGGGGCGGGGCCAGGGGGGGGGGGTGGCTCATCCAGCAGTGGATTGGCCAAATATCTCTAAATATGCATGGTTGTGTTATAAGAGCTGCTCTGTGTGGGGATTGTTTTGGATTGCAAGACGAGGGCAGCGTCATTCCACGTGGCCCCGTGTAGTAATGTCCCGTAATCCATCACAGACTTCACTTGATATTAATGCAGTGCGGGCCGATTGCTCATGTAATGATAATAGCATTTACGCGAGCTTTAGTGGAAAACAAAACAACATTAATCCTATGCAGGTTATTAAAATCCATCTTGCCCAAGTACGTACGGTACGCACTCGATGCTGCGGTGCATGCGCGCGTGTGCGTCTGTGACGAGGGGCTGCGGACGTGTGTGTTCCATGTATCCGGTGATGACATTTGATGATATGTTAATGATCAACAACGGCAACGATAACAATTTGCAGCCCCCTTGTCAATCCAATGATGGATGAACGCCTTCTTCCAACGCTGTATCACTTACGGGGGGGGGGGGTTGTTTGACCATACTTCACCACGCTGGTCAGTGCGGGTTGGCGAAGGGCGGAGGAGGCCCAGGGCCGGTTGTTCAGACATCACTCGCCACTGATGATGGTAGTCGTGGTTGGGGAATCGAACTCAGATAAGCGGGTTCGTGGCTTGATGCGAAACTAACTATTTATTTTTATTTTACCAGGTAAGGCCCACTGAGCTATGTAGCTCTTTTTCAGAAGCGACCTCGCCACAAATGATAGCTCATTTATAGCTCATGTAGAGCATCCAAATACTCTCAACTCGTGTTTTGAGTATTGCAGCGTTAACCGCTGCACAATTGCACCCCATTTTTTTCCATCATAAAACGTAAATTCATCATTTGAGATATTAATGGATTAAAATGTCTAATTTTAAAACGTAATGGACGCTAAGTGTTTCCATTTATTTGTGCAACTTGTTTAAGTTGAAATATGAAATATTTAGAAGAGATGTACGTCTGATTCAAACCCCAATACAGTATTCTCAAAGTCCATGTAATTTATGAAATGCAATTTACGATACGAGGTTATATTTAAGCGTACTGGCGTCGAGTGGCTTAACGCAGCTTGTCTGATTTTCAACAAATATAATTAAACCAAAAATGCATTTGCTGAGTCGGCGAAGGCTGCGGAACACATCGATAACGCAATCTCACACTTAACAGCGGGGAAATTAATTCATTGAGACGCATCAACCGCGCTCCGTGGTGAGCGACGTGGGGTCCTATGCGGGTTTGGTGTTACCGACGTGGCGTGGAGTGGCATGGGGTCGCGTCGTGTGGCGTTGCATGGGGCGCCGTGGTGTAGCGGCGTGCGTAGTGTGCTGTGATGTGACGCGGTGTAGCGTTTTCCGGCCACCTCTCTGGCACGTCGTGCCCCTGTATCCCGCCGCACACTCGCACGCCCCGTCCGCGGGGCGGCAGGACGCGCCGTTGTGGCATCCGCACGTGCGCGAGCAGTTGGGCCCCCAGCGACCCGGGGCACAGGCGCTGTCACAGCGCACCCCTACCGGAGGGCACGGGTGCACACCGCACACACAAAGCAAAGATGCCCCATATAGCGTCAACAGACTGCTGGGACAAGTGCTGTTAGCGAGCACCTGTGAAGGCCGGGCCGTCTCTGTCTCCCGAGTGGCGTCGTTTAAACACCGCACCGGGTGCGCATTTGACTCTGAGTCGACCTAGGGGAGGCCCACGACCGGTTCACACATTTGTCACCGATGTTGGTCGTGAGCGGGAATCGAACTCGGTTCGCTGGGTTCGTAGCGCGGCGCGCTAGCCGCTACACCACCGCACAGAAATACACACACACCCACAGCGCATCAGCAAAACAAGATATACATGCCCCGTTTTGCCGCATTGAATTATGCAACGCGCAGAGCATCCAAGTCGCGCGTTAAGAGGTTGACCTTTCCAGATGCTCAACTCCCAGCGACAGAGCCAAATCGTAAAAAGCCAAACTACCTCCACGCCTTGACCAGCGTGGTGAAGTATGGTCACACGAGCACTCATGCTTGACACGGCGTGGGGAGGCCTCTATCCAGCAGTGGGTTAAGAAAAATCTCGATTACTAAGAAAAAACACGTTATATTATTCAAATATTAACAATCCTAATCTCTTTGATTTAAAGCTTTCGTGACTGCAGTAATTCATTTCTTAGTTCTTTCAGTAAAGTCACGTTGAAGGGAAACAATAAAATAATAAAATATATAAAACAATAAAAATTCTCACGACGTTTCGACCATAACACAAACGGTCGTCATCAGGTTTGTCGGTTTGCTTAAATGTATTTATTTTTATGCAAACCGACACACCTGATGACGACCGTTTGTGTTATGGTCGAAACGTCGTGAGAATTTTTATTGTTTTATATATATTTATTATTTTATTGTTTCCCTTCAACGTGACTTTTCCGAAAGAACTAAGAATATGAATCCTAATCTCATCATTAGTAGCCTTGATCTGTTATTATTTCAACACACGGACAACAAAATCGGCTCTTTTGCAGTAGTGCCCGATGGAATGTTGCAGAACTGTGAGAGATGGCGACAGCTTGGAGATTAATGATATCGAACAGTGGATAATACACGGCTGATCCAGATTATGACGATCCACCAGGCCTACGTGCGAAAGCAGCGATAGTAATAATAACCCAACGGCAACAAGTGGGGCGCTTTGCTCATCGCGGGCTGAGAAAATACCAGCGAGGATTGAACCCATCCGCCGCCTCCTCCCTCCCCTCCTTCACCACCCCCCCCCCCCCCCAGAGCTCTCCTCCAACTGCCGTCACCCCCCCCCCCCCCCAGGGCTCTTCCTCCTCTTCCTCCTCCTCCAACTGCAGTCACCCCCCCACCCCCCAGAGCTCTCCTCCTCTTCTTCCTCCTCCAACTGCAGTCACCCCCCCCACCCCCCAGGGCTCTTCCTCCTCTTCCTCCTCCTCCAACTGCAGTCACCCCCCCCCCCCCCCCCAGAGCTCTCCTCCTCTTCCTCCTCTTCCTCCTCTTCCTCCTCCTCCAACTGCAGTCACCCCCCCCCCCCCCCAGAGCTCTCTTCCTCCTCTTCCTCCTCCTCCAACTGCCGTCACCCCCCCCCCCCCCAGAGCTCTCTTCCTCCTCTTCCTCCTCCTCCAACTGCAGTCACCCCCCCACCCCCCAGGGCTCTTCCTCCTCTTCCTCCTCCTCCAACTGCCGTCACCCCCCCCCCCCCCCAGAGCTCTCTTCCTCCTCTTCCTCCTCCTCCAACTGCAGTCACCCCCCCACCCCCCAGGGCTCTCTTCCTCCTCCTCCAACTGCAGTCACCCCCCCCCCCCCCCCCAGAGCTCTCCTCCTCTTCCTCCTCCTCCAACTGCAGTCACCCCCCCCCCCCCCAGAGCTCTCCTCCTCTTCCTCCTCCTCCAACTGCCGTCACCTCCCCCCCCATCTCTCTGCGGGCTCCACTACCCCCCCTGACAGCGACAAAAAAAATTCCGACTTAACAATCCTACTCTTCCTGTAACCCGGCAACTTCACACCGCGACCGTGGGCTGGCCAGCCAGCCATCATCACCCGTGGACATGGAGAGACGATTAGTATTCTGAGATTCAACCGCCTCCAGGTTTAAGGGTGCACAGAGGGTGGAACTTTAATTTTGTGCGTGCGCGTTTGTAGGAGGATGAACGCAGCATGATTAAACAAAAAAAACAACTCATATAACATTGCGGTCTGTGCCGAGTGCATCTACAAACAGTTATTTTCGGTATCAGCCGTGGGGTGGTTCGCGGCCACGATGTACCGACGTTTCTGGCGCTGCGAGCTTCTACGGGATCTGAAGTCGAAAGGCGTCTTCGCAATGCACGACAAATTACACCGTGAAGCGTCGTTGTGGAGAATGTTAATGACAAAATAACTGTCGCTCATCCCCCCCCCCCCATAGGTCTGTTCATGCACACACAAAGCATTCAAAGGATATTTTCTGTATGGTTTTGTGTTGAACGAGGAACCATTTACCTTCAGGACGGGAAATCGCAGTTCAACAAAATTGATTTAAGCAAGCCTGACCCTGCTGATGAGAGGTACTGAAGGTTGGAACCGGTCTCAAAGTAGTGCTCATGTTGAGCCACTGCTGCTGATGATATTGCTCTCCAAGCTGGTCTTCACGAAACGGATGAACACGTGGCACAACACGAGAACGCACATGCCGTGTCGGTACAGGGCATGGGGCACGTGCGTTACCCGGACAGTCGAACTATGAGCTTGATGCTTGATTAATGAAAAAAACCCCAAATGTTAAAGTTATCTTTGCGCATGCCATTATAGCGCTGTAATGATGATGTAGTCATCATCATCCGTGGCCACTCTACTACTGGATGAAGGTCTCCCATAGCGATCGCCAAACCGCACGGTCACGAGTTGCACTGAACGCAGTGATAACCCTCAACACTGAACAATCGTTGATTTGAAGCTTTCGTGACTGCAGGAATCCATACTCTTTGGTTCTTTCGGTAAAGTCACGTAGGTAGAAAATAAAATAAATCACGACGTTTCGGGCGCAACACAAGCGACCATCATCAGCCACCTGATGATGGTCGCTTGTGTTGCGCCCGAAACGTCGTGATTTATTTTATACCTAGCGTGACTTTACCGAAAGAACCAAAGAGTACTGAACAATTGCTTCTGTCAGTGTGGTTGTCAGGACTTCACGTGAGATTGTTCGAGTTTTGTGCCTCGTACGAGTCGTGTCTCCTCGTGAATGTGAGGTGTGTTCTAAGCTCACCGCGGAACACGAGTAAAGAGAGCATGGGGGGCATGGGGGGCATGGGGAGCATGGGGGGCATGGCTATCTTCCTCCAGGGAGTTGGCTACCTTCCTCTCTCCGGCGGAGTGACGGGGTTTGGTGAGGAGCGACGCGGGCTGACGGGGTCGGCGTGTGACAGGGGGAGATAATTAGGGACGCGGCGAGACGCGTGTCGCTTCTGCTGCCACTTCGACGAGAGGAACAGAAAATAAAAATAAAAATAAAACGCGAGTGGCGGAGCGAGACAGAGTGGACGCCGAAGCAGGGGGGGGGGGGGCGACGTGGCGGGTCTCGGGTGGACGGACGGACGGCGATGCAGGTGGGAGAGACGCAGGAGGGATGGGACAAAGAGATTTAGCATAAGGAAGGACGTAACTCTGGGCAAAAGAGCAGACGGCTCGATAGATGGATGGACAGGTGGACGAAAAAATAAGTGGACAAATGGACAGAGATGAAAGATGGACAGAGCGTAAGGGCGGACAGATACGACAAATGAGTGAAAATATAAATGGGCGAGTGAAACGGTAGATGGATACGTGGAGTGACAGACGGACAGACAGAGGATGGGTGAACGGACGGACTAAAAATATATATAGAGAGAGGGATAGCACATAAAGCAAAACAATGAAAAAAATAAAAAAAACCCCCCGAAATGATGAACGAAGCAAAGTGCCGACTAAACCGAGCACCTTCTTGTTTACTCTGATCGTAAAAAAAAAAAGAACGGACGGACAGGCGGACGGAACGAACCGGTCCATCCGGAGTGGCAGAGGCAGCGCCCTGTGACGCGGTCGCACCGCTCCGCGTGGCCGCAGTCGCAGAGCTCCCGGCAGCCGAGTCCGAACGAGCCGGGCTGCGAGCAGCAGACCCACACATACAAAGAAGAGACAAAGACCACCCGTATAGCCTCAACTTCACCGCTGGGGGGCAAGTGCTTTTAGCGAGTACTCATGAAGGCCGGCACGGCACACAAGAGGGTGGGTGGCCAACACCGCACCTTGTCGGCCTTTGTTTCCCCAGTGCATTTCAGGCTGAGTCGACCTAGGGGAGGCCTAGGACCGGTTCAGATAATCGTCACTGGTGTTGTCCGTGAGCGGGAATCGAACACGGATCACCGGGTTCGTAGTGCAGAGCGCAAAACCGACACACTATCGCTCCCCAAAGAGAAAGATTCCCCGTTTAGCCTCAACAGACTGTTGGGGCAAGTGCTGTTAGCGGCGAATCTACGGCACTCCCCCCCCCCCACCCCCACGCACATATTATATATCAGCCTTACACATTAACATACATACACACTCCCTCTCTCTCTCTCTCTCACACACACACACGTGCATGCACTCTCTGTCTCCACTTCTCTCACTCTCTCACCTGACACGCGAGCTCGCACGCGTGACCCCTCCACCCTGGGGGGCACGCGCAGTCCCCCGACGCGGGGTCGCAGAAGGCGGGTGGGCGGCAGCGGCACGAGCGGTTACAGCCGAGGCCCCAGCTGCCCTGGGCGCACGGCAGCGAGCAGTCGGGGCCGTGCCATCCTGAGCACCGCCAACAGCGGGGAAGACTCCAATCACACGGACGTCCGGTGCTCACGACTCGCCGCACGACTAACGCTGCCCGAGCTTTGACCCGGGCAGTCACGGGGAGTGGCATCTCTGCGTTCGGGGGTGGCAGGAATTGATTTGTACCGACCTCCGTGATGAACGGGATCGCAGAACACTGCACGGTTTTGATAGCCTAGTCTAGAGTGGACAAGGTGGCTATCCTACCCCCCCATGGGAGTAGGATAGCCAATTAGCACAGTTGTCTACGTACGGTGCGAAATAAGTTCAAGGTACAGTAACATACACGGCCCAGCTCTCCGTGATTACGAGAAGTGGGAAGCGGTTGGGCAGTGGTTAGCGCACTGCGCTACAAACCCGGCGACCCAAGTTCCATTCCCACTCACGATCAATAACAGTGGCAGCATTATTGAACTGCTCCCGCATCTCCCATAGATCTACTCTGCCTAAAATGTCTACCTGGTGCATGTGTAAACATCATCGCTGGGAAGTCAAAAGCGGCCGGTTCCCCCTCGTGTGCCTTTACGGCCTTCATAGGTGCTGCTCGCTAACAGCACCTGGCCCAACAGTCCGTCAAGGCTATACTGGGGGGGGGGGGGAGGGTCTTTGTATTTGCTGTGTGTCGATAGAGGTTCCGAGTGCGCCTGCACTGAATCGCAACGCTGCTGAGATTGTGCACTCCCAGAAGGCCATGGGGCCGATGGGGTCGTGTAAAAAAAGTACTTTTGTCGAGGTACGGGGCTTGCGGGGGAGATGTATTGTCTGCTTATCCGTGTTGATATCTCCCAGAGTTCACCGAATTCGTCGCTAATTAAAGTCGAAACTTTGAATTCCCACAACCGATTTGTCCGTCTCCGTCTGGACCGTCCCCCACCCTAACCCAACCCGCCTCGCTTTCAAAACTCAAACTAAAAGAACACTTTCATGATAACAACAACGATAATGGCGCGACAAGAAAGCTTTCATGGACCTTAGTTAAATCCATACACACGCGCACGGCGATAACATCGGCAAAGAGCATGTGTCCAACACCTCTCTCCGTGCTAAATGAACGACTCTTCGCACTTCACGATTCGCCAGCGGGCCTCGCCACTTCACCGTTTCGACAACAAAAACAATCGTCAGCAGCTGGAAGTCGTCTCACGCCGCACAATTAGGCGAATTCCGCGCCGCGCGAGAAACGTAAACAAAGAAGCGTTGTGTTATTGTTTGCGTTCTCCATCTCACAAAGGGGACTTCTGCAGAAACAGGCTGCTCCATCGGACCGGCCTTACACGGGGAGGCGAGCATGCGTCTGTGTGTCTGTGCGGGGAGCACCTGGGTCTGTCCCGTGACCTCCTGACAGCGGGCGTTCGACGTTTCACGTGGCCTTAACGTGCACATAGCCTGGCACAAGCGCCGTGGTGACGTCACCACCACATTGTGGCGAAAGGCGGTTGTTGTTGTTGTTGCGGGGAGCGGTGGCGCAGCGGTTAACGCGCTGCGCTACGAACACGGCCACCCGAGTTCAATTTACGCTCATGTTCATCACCAGTGACAATTTATCTTAACCCTGGATATACTCAGCCTCAAATTAGTACCTGATGCAGTGTGTAAACATCAACACTGACTCTGCCCCCCTCCCCCAATAGTGCCCCGTGCTGGCCTTTGTAGGGTGCTCGCGAAACGCGCTTGCACCCCAACATTCTGTTCAGCCTTCACGGGGGAGCTTTGCCGATGTCACGCAAGAACCTCTACACCGGGGCAGACAAAGGGCGGTTCGGATCACGCGGCTGTGGAGGAGGCGGCCGTCTCCAACCACCCCATCCATCACGAGTGCCGCCCGTGCCGGCCTCGATCCCGCCGCTGGCTCCCTCGCATCGCGTTCTTAGCGCTGAGCGCGCGGTGTCTTTAAGGCTACACGGTAAGGGGAGAGATCTTGGGGAAATGTGAGTTACGAGCCTGGGGTGTTTTTTTTTGTTGTTTTTTAATAAGGAACACGACGTTACTGTTCATTGTCGAACCCTTTGCTTATACATCGCTGTTATTATTATTACTATTCCTACTACTTGAGGAGGTGAGGTCAGGACACGGAGCAAAGGACTTAAAGATGTGGAACCAATTAAGGTGGGACTCTTTCTTGCACTCGGTCAAACCGGTGGTGGGGGTAAAGGAGGAGGCCAGAGAGAGAAAACGCGGAACAGAAAGCCAGCCCGGTGCAAAGGGGGGGGGGGGGGATGGGGAAATAAATGTGCGCATTATTTATTTATTTACGCATTTAATTCACCTGCCCGGTGACCGTGGGCCGGCACGGCGGAATCAGCGTGCGAGACGGGTGGCGACAGGTTACGTGCGCTCTCGATAATAAACTGGGGGCCCGGGTCATTACCCAGCGTCGCTCCGCGCCAGCGCCGACCTCGGCGTTATTAAACGGGCGACCTTTTAGCGGCGACGGGAAATCATAATAATAATGTATTAGGCTAGCATTACAGGTAGCGCGCGTGGCGTGTGTACTTGTGTGAGCTGACGGAGGATTTTGTTTGTCCGCGTTGGAGACGCGAGTACACGCAGCAACAACAACAACAACAAAACTCGGAGTAGCGAGTTCGTGGTTTCAGTCCGGTCACCAATGACTCACTTATATCGAGACCCATACACTCATACAGAATCCTACCTACATACTCACACATAGACCCACAGACTCATATCGAAGCCTACATACTCACATAGAGACCAAAAGACTCACATACAGACCTACAAACCCACTAGAGACCCATAGACTCATATAGAAATCGACATACCCACACAAAGACCCATAGACTCATATAGACTAAATTGTGAATACTGCAATTTAATCCATGGTCTCAGCCTGGTCATTCATTGCGCAAAAATCACTTTACGTTTGATTCTGCTCCGAAGTCGGCTGAATTCCAGCTCTGGAAACGTAAACATCGACATTTACTGTCACGTGCGCTTCTGTGACAGGACGAGTGGCAGAGTGCTGCTCCTCACTGTGCGGATCGGAGGGCACTTGAAGGATCTTAGAGGGAGCTCCGTGATATCCGCTTCCGCGGGCCCTTCATGACGAGCGAGTTCCACACGGACTCGTCGTCTCGCGGCGACGTGACGCCGATTTCGCGCTCGTGATGCAATTGGGCGGGGGGGAATATTTCCGTTGAAAGATTTCGGTGACTTCCGAGGTGCAGTCAGTACATGGTTCCTCGACACAACGTGCTGCTCGATAATTATGATGACAACGGCGATGATGACGAAGACAATGATGATGACGACGAGAATAGCAACAATGGCAGCGAAGATGAACATCGGGATGTCACCGGATGGGAATTTCTCGTCTTACGACATCGGTGATGTGGATGTGACAGCACCATCTGAGCGAAGTGCTGCTATAATTGTATACATGTGTATGAAAAGTAAAATCCTCTTGCAAAACTTGCGATGGGAAATTGTTAAAGTCGAGTGACAGATATGAGGAAGGAGAGGCGACGCGTATCTGGGGGTAAAGAAGCAGACTCAATGTAATCATCTGTCACTTCAATCAAATGTAGAGACTGCTGTAAAACTGTTAAGCGTTTTAATAATGTGGGGGGGGGGGGGGGGCTGGTCGTGGTGGTGGAGGGTGGTGGTGGTTGGGGGTGGTGGTGGGGGTGATGGTGGTGGGGTTGTGGGCGTGATGGGGTGGTGGTGGGGTTGGGGGTGGGGGTGGTGGTGGTGTGGGTGGTGGTGTGGGTAGTGATGGTTATTCGATTTAACGAACAACGTCATCGTATTAAATGGAGAACTTTGCTCGGTGAAGAACGATTCAGGGGAAATGAAACAATCTGGTGGCTATTTGGTTTCCCTCTCTAAATCGTGATTTCTTCATTCGCTCCAATCTAAAATCACTCCCTAGTTGTTGTTTTGTTTGAGCGTGTGTCTGATTTTTTGTGTGCGTATCTGATTATTTGTGTGCGTATCTGATTGTTTGTGTGTGTGTCTGATTATTTGTGTGCGTATCTGATTGTTTGTGTGTGTGTCTGATTATTTGTGTGTGTGTCTGATTATTTGTGTGTGTCTGATTGTTTGTGTGTGTCTGATAGAGGCTCGCATGTTCAGCTTCAGCTGCCTCGAATCACTTATCATCATGTGGATGAATCCGAACGCGTTCGCATGCTGCCAAATTGGGTTATTGTGGCTAAGCCGCGAGTCCCGTTCTGCCGCGAATGATTACGAACAGCGACCGAATGGGGGAGCAAGAAGTGCGAAATGGATGAGGGATGATTAGGAAGGGGCAGAGAAGCTGGGAGGTGGAGTGGGGATTACATGGGCGAGGAGGGGAACCGGGGGAGGGGGGGGTGAGTGGGGAGCGAAAAAGATTGAATAGGTCCGGATTGGGAGAGAAGTTGACCTGATGGTCGAGTTTCAGGGCAGGTGGGGTTATAGGGGAATGGATGAGGGGACAATGGGAGGAGAGAGGAAGAGAAAGGAGTGGAGCGGTGAGCAGGGAGGGGAGCAGATGGCTCGATAACGGGAGGAGAGAGAGAGTGCAGGAGAAGAGGGGAGACAGTTTCAGTTTTCAGTTTCCGTTGATTTATTTTGGTATAACCCTGTGAGCCATTCGGCTCTTGAATCGGGTGCAACCACAACAAACAAAAAACACGAACACGAAAAACATCGAGGATAGGGAAGACGGTGGCAAGCAGCAATAAGAGCACGGCACAGGAGAGGGAGCAAGATGATGGAGGAGGTGGGACGGAAGGAGAGAAACGAGAGGTCACTGAGACAGGGGAGAGGGGACGCGAGGAATGGGTCGAGGAAGGAAGGCGAGGGAGTGGGGAGTTGGGGGTGGGTGTGGGGGGGATGGGGGGGGAGAGGGGAGGGGCTGCCCGTACCCGCCAGGCACGAACAGCTCCCGTCAAGGGGGCTGCAGCTGGCGCCGTTGAGGCAGGCGCAGGAGGCCGAGCAGTTCGTGCCGAACGTGCCGAGTGGGCACGGCGTGGAGCAGTCGGGGCCCTGTCCACAGACGGGGGGGGGGGGGGGGGGCGAGTGAGACCCCCACCATAAATACGACCACAAACAACAACAACAACAGCAAACACCACCACGAACTCCACAACCAAGGTCACACAAGGCACCATCACCACTGACTAGCAACTACCAAGATAACCACCATCGAAAAGCATTGCTATCAGAATGCCTATAGCGATAACCATTACAACCACCGACACAGCAACCACTCAGACCAACAACAACAACAACCTCCATCACCACCACGATCGCGCCAAGCAACATTAACCACCGTCAGAACCACGACTATCCCCATCACGACCACCGCAATGACAACCACCACCACGCTAACCTACTCAACACTTTGGTGATCTCCCCCACCCCGCGCCCCTCTCCCCCCTCCCCCTCCACGGCCCGGAGAGGAACTCACGGCGAGTCCCGGGGGGCAGGAGCAGGCGCCGGTCTCGTGGTGGCAGAGCGCGGCCCCGGGGCACGCGCACGGCTGCGCGCAGCCCTCGCCGAAGAGCGGCGCGGTGCAGGCGGCGTCGCAGCGCGCGCCCGTCCAGCCACGCAGGCACGCGCACTCGCCCGAGACGGGGTGGCAGCTGTGGGGGGCGGGGGGGGGGGGGCAAGGGGAATCGGCATCGTCGTCATCATTGTCATCATCGTCACGGTCGTCATCAAAGTCGTCATCGTCGTCGTCAACGTCGTCGTCATCATCGTTATAGTCATATAGTCATCATAAGTGTCATCGTCATCATCATCGTCAACATCTCTCATCATCGTTATAGTAATCATCAGTGTCGCCATCGTCATCATCATCGTCGTCACCGTCGTCATCATCATAGTCATCATCAGTGTCATAATCATCATCATCATCGTCATCATCAGTGTTATCGTCATAATCATCATCGTCATCATCGTCGTCATCATCATCATAGTCATCATCAGTGTCATCATCATCATAGTCGTCATCATCAGTGTCATCATTATCATAGTCATCATCGTCGTCACCGTCGTCATTATTGTCATAGTCATGATCATCGTCAGGAGTGGTAGATCTTGACCATGATTATTACGATCATCACTGTCAAGCGAAGTCAACATTATCTTGTGTAACCAGGGTCGCCGCGGTGGCTAGAAGATGTTAACTACATCGCCTGGTATACAGGAGGTCGTGGGTTCGATCCCGACCCTGACGCCTGCTGCTGTATATTTGGAGTTTCCATGATCTCGTGGATATTTCTGCTGCTCCTCCGCTTTTTCCTTCCATATTTTGAATCAACATGCGTTTAGAGTTCTTGTCTGCTGTACATTTCCCCGCGATAAGCTATTTCATTGGGCTATCATTGGTAGCCAAGTCGCTTCTGCGCAAGATATATAGTTAGAGCTCAGTGGGCATTACCTGGTAAAAAATAAAACCTAGTTTAATCGTTTTAGTTTATAGATAACTCAAGCGAAAAGGATAGAATATAATTTGCAAGGGTGACCTGGGTCACTATAGTGACGAAATTAAATACAATATCACATGCAAAATAGCTGCATTGCATGAGGATTTGGAAATATTGCACAAACATAAATCAACGTGAAGTCAAAGCGAAATATCAAATTCCCTGCAGCGCGAATTGGCTCGGGGCAGATTAACCTCCAAATTGAACACAGCACAAATTACAGAACTAAAGCGACAGAAACATTAAACATTCAACAGATATCGGGGGCGTCTACTGTACTAATATTAACAAACACGGATATGAGTGAAGTGCAATTACATGTGAAGCTATCATCAATCAATGTCATGATCTTCTTTGACTTCATTATCATTGTCATCGCCATGACCATAATCATTCACGTCATCGCCATCATCATCATCATAACCATTGTTATCATAATTATTGTGATTGTCAGAATTGATGTCATCATCATTGTCATCATGGTTATCATCATCATCATTGTCATGAATGTCACCGTCTTCAACATCACCCGAGTCATTATCATCGTTGTAGTCATGATCACCATCGCATCATGAGCATCAAACGTTGCTTTGTTTGTGACGAATTCATAAAACCTGGAGAAAATATCCCCACACCGCGGCTTACCCCTCAACCACCGCTGTTCACGGTGGTGGTGGTGTTGATCGAGGTGATGGTTGCACTGATGGCAGTGATGGTGGTGGTCATGGTGGTGGTGATGCTGGTGATGGTAGATGGGAGTGTCGGGTGGTAGTAATAATTCTGGTGAGAGTGATAGTCGTTATGATTGTCGGTGAGGGTGTGCCGTGCCGGCCTTCATAGGTGCTCGCTCACAGCACTTGCCCCAACAGTCTGGTATCTTTGCACTTTGGTGGTGGGGTGATAGTGGTGCTGGTTATGGCGCTAATGACGGTGATGGTTCTGTTGGTGGCCGTGGCGGCGAATGTGGTCGTTAGTGGTGATGGTGGCGATGGTGATGCTAGTGATGATTGCGTTCACCACGGCGATGGTCGTGGCGATGGCGGTGATGGCAACCGATGGGCTAGGACTGCGCGCAGGCACAGAGAGGATAATGTCGATGTAGCGACGGATTACGGGGGATCAGTAGCAATGGTGGAGGGGGAAGGGGTAGTTTGAGAGGAAATCGTGTGGAGATGATGGGAGACCCTGGCTGGGAGAGGAAGGATCGACAGGGGTTAGGCCACCGTGAGAAGATAATCAGAGGGAAAAGCCACTCTGACAACCGCACATGTCACGCGACCTTCGCGATATCCCCGCAAAGCCGCCCCCCGCGATGTGCGAGGGAGGTGGGGGAGCAAATACGGATCCAATTTTATTAAAAACATCCGCGCGATGTTGTCCCTTGACAAACTCGCTAAATGGCAAGGGAAGCCAAATCACCGTTCAAGGACTCCCCGTGCCCAATTGAACAATTGGTAGCGTTGGACCACCATTTTTTTTAATTGTGCGTGGAAATTCCACGCTCGTGTGACGAGGACGGTCCATCCGTAGGCCATCACAAAGAGGGGCTGTCGAGGTGGTCTGTCACACAGTCGTACTGCAGACTCACGGGGCTGATGATGACAAAGACGATCACGATGATTAAGATAACTGACCTGCTGCTATACAACTATCACAAATGCAAATGGTCTTACCCGATTATGAAGACATACTGGCTAATATATATACCTACCCAACTCATTCCTATGCTGCTCCCGTTGTCTGGAACTCCCTTCCCCCAGTCATCGGTGCTGTGGACGCCCTGTCCCTTGTCAAGTCCAGTCTGCCTAGGATAGACTGCCTCCCTCTCTAAAGTAACTCTAGAGTCACAATTACACGCGATATACATCCACATTGTAGATGCTCTTGTGCCTAACCACCCTCGTACCGCCTACCTATACAGCGCCTACTCACCAATGAAACACGACGATGAATTGTGCTGATGACGGTGGTTGGCGCTGTGCACTCTGGAGCCGGCAATCCGAGTTCGATTCCCGGCCACGGCTTTCATCAGTGGCGAGTGATATCTGAAATGCTTCTAGTACCCCCAAACATTCACCAACCCGCACTGACCAGCCTGGTGAAGTATGGTCACACCATTCACCCATGACCGACACGGCGTGGGGATCTCTTCATCCAGCAGTGGATTGACAAAGCACTATCAATGTTTTTTTAATGATGACGGCGATGATGGTGATGATCGTGGTGGTGGTAAAAATGACGAGGATGTGAATTCCTGAGCCTCCACAATCTCAAGGATGATACATTCCGGCGAAGACAAATTGTAATTAACAAACCGCCCATCTCATTTCCACCCAAGCGTGAAAATCGGCATCGTCCCCCATCACCCCCGCCCCCCTCTCCCACACGCACATCCGCCCCCTCTTTGTCTCCCCTCCTCCCCCCGTACATCCACCGCCACCCCCAACTTCATGCACGCACGGGCTGATGTCTCTCGCCCTCTCAACCTTCTGCCCCTCCCCTCCCGCACCCCCCCACAACCGACTTTGCCTCCCCCCAACCCCATCCCACCCTCCCAGGCTGGCGTCTCCCATCGCCATCTCTCATTACGCAGCAAAAAATATAAAAATCCCACCAATTAATGTGCTAATAGCGAGGCTTATCCACCGGTCTCACTCTCGCTCCCCCTCGGCCACCCCCCCCCCCCCCCCGTCAAAGCGTGGAGCCGGGGGAGGGTGAGAATGGGCAGGGGGAGTGTCAGGTGATGAGTCATTCACGCGCTGCTTCATTCCTTCATCCTTCTCGCCCATCCATCAATTTGTTTCGCTAATTTATTCATCTGCGACTGCGAACCTTCATTACTTCATTCGTCCGCTGATGAACGAATTAATGCGTTCATCGTTCGTAAGGCGTCTTTCCGGCTGGCGTTGGCCGAGGCGGTGCAAGGGACGTTTCCACGACACTGTTCCACCTCGTGAGAGACGGAGCATAGAGATCGGTTCGCGAGTGATATGATGGAACGTAGCAGCGCTGCACCGTGACGGATGAGGTTGCTTCATCCAGCGGTGGATTGATCACAGCTGAAGACCACGATTCATAATTTACAGACCTTTGTTAATCCCTTGCTGAATGAAGTCCGCCTCCACCACACCGTGCCGGGGGGAGGGGGGGATGTTTGACCATACTTCACCACTCTGGTCAGCACGGGTTGGTGGGGATGCTGCTGGATAGAGGGCAGGCTGGGTTCAGATATCACGTGTCACTGATGCAGCCAGCAGGTGAGAAGGCCAGAGACCCGGATGAGTCTCCGCAGCAGGATGGACCTGGGACGGCGGTCTGCTGCTAATGAAGGTCACGGGGTTCATGGCGCAGTGCGCTAACCACTGCGCCACCACTCCCTCCCCCAATATAATGTAATACGACAGTAAAATTATAGTCCCACTCAGGAATCCCGTCTGTAGCCGTGGGAACATTTGTAAAATATTCATTAACCTGGCGCTCTTTTACAAAACGCGACTTTGATCGAAACCTTTATGGATGTTTCCTTCTGCTCAGTGGCGGGATAACCTCCTCCCTCCCTCCCCACGCCACTCCGCCACGTGACGGCGCCTAATTAATCCGCTAGCCATGGTGAAATGCCCAGCATCTGCACGGCCACGCAGGGACTCGTTCTTATTTAATATTCAGCAGCGCGTCGAGAATTACCTATCGCCACCGCCTCCAGCCTCGCGAGCCTTGGGGAGATGAGTTGGAGAAACAAAATCCAAAGCTGAGCGTGAGAAAATTACCCAACAATTTGCACGGCTCACGACAGCTTCGGTGGCTTGGGTCGTGTTTCCTAACGTGAGCCTCATCGAGAAAATTGTTCTAACCCCACACGGTCTAAAGATTCGAAACCATAGTTCTGACACTAACCCTGAAGGATTAAACCCTACCTCCAACCCTAACACGAACCCCTATACCCTACGTCTAGCCCTAACACGAACCCCTAAACCCTACCTCCAGCCCGAACACGAACCCCTAAACCCTATCTCGAGCCCTAACACGAACCCCTAAACCCCATCTCTAGCCCTAACACGAACCCCTAAACTCTTACCTCTAACCCTAACACGAACCGCTAAACCCTACCTATAACCCTAACAAGAACCCCTAAACCCTATCTCTAGCCCTAACAA